CAGACACACACACAGGCACACACACACACCCACCCACACACACGCGCGCACGCGCGCACACACACACACACACACACACACACACACACACACACATATATATATATATATATATATATATATCACTAAAAAAAATTGTATTAGTAGAAAAGAAAAAAAAATAGTGTCGTGACAAAAGTTACTATTTTGAAAATAAATTCTCAGTGAACTTACAGTGCAATCCATAATAATCGGTTTACTTTCTAAGATTTACACAATGTTGTGTTCAAATTTATACACTCGAGATCAAACATATTAGAATCTGACGAATAATGCTCAAAACAACAAAGAATATGAAGAAAAATTTAGAAAATTAGATAATCATATTTCTCTTAAGACTTACTATATAAAAGAAATTATTGTGTTGACAAATAATAAATAAATACTTTTAATACCAATAATAATAAAAATAATTAATATGTCAACGGTAACATTAAGTAATCAACACTTATATGTCATTATTTACACAATTCTCCATTAATGATAGATAAGTGAAAAAGAGATAAAAACAAATTTTGGACAAGGACAGGTTATTGTGATTAAGTGTTAATGTCCATAAGATTGAATCAACACATAGTGTGAGACAACACCTTAGGTCCAAAAAGTGAATTATTTTTGAACTTAATTTTTTTTTAAGATGAAACTCTTATAACACACACTCTTACCTTTAAAAATATGATAACTCTGCAATTAAAATTTTACATAATACTTTTGATATTTATATGTATATTCACCTTAGCTTGCTCGTGAAAACTCTAGAAAGATAGTCAAAGTCTTTCATAGGAGATAACCTATATCTTCACACTTACATAGGTAGATACTTCAAGTGTGTCTCTATAACACTACCCATATCAAAGGTTATGTATCTATTAAGAGTTCATAACTCAACCTCACATCAAGCACTACCACATGTCATAAGGATGAAAAATGTAGTGCATAAGAGTATTCATAAGACTTTGTTTGATCACTAATTGTTTGTCTACTATACTTTCCTCTACTCGTGGCTTTAATCATCCCCTCGACATATCCAAGACAATTTTCCTGGGTAATCTTTTTATGAAAGGATCTACATGATTTTTTTTTTACCTTTCACACACTTGAGTGAAATATCACAATTTTTAATAAAAATTTTGACAACACCATGTCTCAATATGTCTTCTCTTATCATTATAAGCATTATTAGTCACAATAATTACAACTTATTAATCACAATGAAATGATACAAGAGATGTAGATCTCTCCCATAATAGTATATTAACCATTAAACCTCTTTAATTATGTTTATTTACCTGCATGTTCAAGTATTATGAATTTCAATTCCATTTTAAATCATGTCACACGTTTTTGTTTTGTTAATTTCTAAGAAATAGTATCACCTTCTAAAGTGAATATATATTCACTTACCTCGTCATTTTTTGAACTCCAATTTATATTATAAAAAAAAGAACTCTTCTAAAATTGTTGGAAAGTTAATAAACTCTAAAATCCAAGTCATAGTACCTTTAAATACTTTTAAAAGACATAATTTTTTTTAATAATCACCATTTAGATTATTTATTGTACTTAATCAATCTACTTACAACATATGCAATATCAATTATAAAATCAATTTATGATATACATAACATTATCAATTATTTTTGCATATTCAAATTCAGAAACATTGGTTTCCCTTTTAATGACATTGCATCATTTTTTTTATATAAAAATGAATGATACGATCATATGATGCTCTATCACATACAACATTAAAACTATTGGAATTTCTTTAATAACTTTTCAGATATAATAAGTTTGACTTATTGATAAACTATTTTTAAATTTTTTCTTCTGCATTTTAATACCTAAAATACAGAATTTTCTCTCAAGTCTTTCATCCCAAACTAGGCCTTAAAAACTCTTTAATTATGACCACCACTTTGAATTAAACATCTAATAACAACATATCATCGTATGATATCACAATTAGAATAAATCATTTTTTTCATACACACAAGAACAAATAGTGTTTATTGAACTTCTCAACCATTGCTTATGTGTTTGTTTTAAGCCATCCAATCAAAACTTACAAATCTTGTGTTATTGTCTTGATATAAAATAATCTTTTGATTTTCAATGTAACT